TAACTACAACTGTTTATGTTATGCTTTTGTCTTTTATGCCTGTTTGTGTGTATTTAATTTAACATTATCTATAGGTGCGGTAATGACCTCAACACCGCGGTAGGCATCTCATTACTGCGGTATTGCGGGAATGCGGTTATCGTCACAGCCCTAATTAAAATATCATAATTCCAACAGAACAGAAGAGAAGAATGACAGGATCGCATCAAAGCCCTGGTGTGTTTGTGTCTGGAATTGAAGTGTGTTCAAGTTTGTTTGTGTGTCTGCACGGGTGAATTCACTGGTGGCTTCACTGGTGGAACTAATCTAAACCAAAGCAAACGTAGCACGTACATTTTCAAAACACAATCTGTGAAACCGTGTGTAGAGGAAAAATACTGAAACACTATAACCAAAATCACCCAATTTCAAAAGGTGCTTGGCACTTACATAATCATATCACACTGCAGCTTCCATCCATGCTCTTGCTCTCTTTCTGTGAGAGGGCAAGATAATCTGATCTGCAGGCAGGATTCGTCATACACAGTCACACAGACAAGAGAGTGACACAGAGAGAGGTTTAACTGGCCCCTGACCTCATTCTGAATTGAGGACAGATCATGCGTGCTGAGTGTTTGAACTATTGTAGAGGAGCTTTGCTCTTGTACTGCTGCCATGCTCTCTGTCTCTCCTTTCCTCCCTCTACTGCCATCATTCCATCTCACTCTTTCACTACCACACTTTCCAACACCGCGGTAGGTCAACCCTTTTCCTTTCCATCCATGTTGCTTTGATCTCCCTCTATCCCTTATTATCACTCGTTCTGCAGAGAATAAAAGGTGATTAGACCACAGAACACTGTTTCAACCCCTATCACTTATGTCATCACAAAACGACAAAAAAGGCTTATGTCTTTAAAAGACCAAAGGCAGACCACAATTTACACAGCCAAAACTTGACCAAAATAAAAAAAGGTCTACAAATTGATCCAGGTGCATTCGATCCTTTGATTCATATTGTGCAGCCTTACTACTCCATAAAAATTATTTTAAACTGTATAAGATGTGATTGTGCGTGCTACGAAATTTTAATTTGCACTAGTTGTTTTTCATTTTTACTATTGAACGACCATCAAAAAAGCAAGCAAACGGTTCCGCAGTGGGGAAGAGCAGACATACACATCTTACCCACACACAAACACTTTAGCATTCAAGTTAATCCATCCTACCAGCAGCTCTCTGTATCTCAGGGGGTGTTAGTCCATCTCCTGTGAGAACATCCAGCTCCACTGCACTGGGCTCTGATTATACACCTCAGCTCTCACACACACACACACACACACACCACATTCAGCATTCAGACTGAGAAGAAACGCCTTTATTCTTAATACACCCACCTACATATGGTTTTTCCTGCATTGACATTTCTTTGGCGGCCGTCAAAGCGAATTTTTGCCCCGCCAAAGCCTTATTTGATCGGTGAGAGATGATGACTGCTGCGCTTGTGACAGGGCCCATGTTAACTGAAAGAACGAGCAAAGAGAGAGAGCCCCGGTCGCGCGCACACTCTCACCATCTTCAAACTAAGTGCTGTCTTGCTCTCTCTCTCTCGCTCATATTAATCAAAATCAATTGACACGATGGCAAAAGGTCGTAAGACCGAAGTTTCACGTGGAGCATTCGGAGATTATTTTTCCTGAATTACCGCTGGGTGTGAATTGTGCTAAAAAAAAAAAAAAACGTTGCCTTATCTTCTCTGAAAAGCGTTCCGCATATTCAGCTGACATAAACCACACTTTCAATAAACGAAAAAACCTATCCAGTGATGAAATGTTTTCTGTATTGACACAAATCTTGTGTGATGTCCTAACTGCCGGCCGGGATAATCACACAACACGTGCCGTACACGTCTGCTAATGACACGTCCGATTCGCAAACTAATGACTCCTTTGAAACGATTAACTTTAATGAATGGTTAAAACAACTGATCTTTCGAGACGTCTGAATCGGTGTTTAACAAATCAGCAACACTTTACAATAAAGTTCCATTTATTAAACTCTAGTTAACTTAACTACATTAGTTAACATTAACTAATAATAAACTGCACTTCTACAGCATTTATTAATCTTTGTTAATGTTAATTTCAACATTTACTAACTGCCTACATTATTGAAATCAAAAGTTGTATTTGTTAACATAAGTTAATGCACTGTGAAGTATCATGAACAAACAATGAACAGCTGTATTTTTATTTATAAGATTAACAAAGATTAATCAATACAGTAACAAATGTATTGCTCATGTTAGTTCATGTTAGTTAGCCTAATACATTAATGTTAACAAATCAAACCATATTGTAAAGTGTTACAAACAAATAATTTACTCAGAACACCTCTTAAAATGAGAATGTAAGTGTGCTTACCCCATTTTTTTAGTAAGAATGGTTAGCAAGATTAAGCCTTATAAATAACCGGAAAATACTGTAGTTTATTATGTCAATGCGTAGAAAAATAACCTTAAAAAATAATTTAGTTTAGACTGGAGTGAGGTGAAACCAGAAAAAAAGTGCAAAGCAAGTTGTTGTTACCTGCTACTTTTATTCAATTCTATATGGTAGAAAATCAGTCTATTAGTTCAAATAAACTTTTTAATGCTACTTTTTAATGCTACTTTTTAATATTGATATAGTTATATACCAAAATAATTATCAGGTCTAGCAAAGAGTGATTTTATCTTACAAAGCTATCACAGCTTTTTTTGAAAAGAGGGCAAGAAAGGATGACAGTGTCTTTCGGCCACCACCGAAGACCATTTTTGACCCAGGAAAAACAACACTGTGCTTCTTATATGGCAAAAAATAATCACAGCATGCAGATTAGAAAAAACAACCTAGAGCAAACACACACTGATATCATTGCATTATAGTAAGGATAGTATGAACCACACAATAACAGCACTTAAATGAAAAGGTTGTGATCTCCTGGCCATTTACACTCTTGCTGACCGTTTAAAGTCGCAATGTTATAGAATTAGCAGATCTTCTCTTCTGTATTGTGATATACATCTGAGTGAAACAGAATATCGAAAAAGAAAAAAATGTAGGATGGAGATTTATGTTTATGTATGCATCAGTTGTTGATGGATGGAGGAGGATCTGAATGCCAGCTTGCAGTTGACTGTAAAGCCCAGGGCCCGAATTTCGTTATTTGAGGGGGGAGTTAGGGGGGGCTTTTTTAAGACAATTTTTTTTATTACATTTATCTCACTTAAATGTTTGATCACTCATTGCATTTTTACAATGGGGTAATTTTGTTAAGAGTTTACACAACACAAGGAAGCTTGATTTCAATCTTTGAATTAAATTGAAAAAAGTAGCACAAATAAATATAAACGTTTATGGGTTGGTCTAACACTAGTATTCAGAAACTGAATAAAGTATTCAGATGTACAATAACACTGGATAGTCTTTTAGTCCTGACTAAATTATATACATAGGCTATTAATCCTGGTTCCTTAAAATTAAAGCAATCTTTTGTTGTTTTGACGACAACATTAAAGACAGACACTTATGGCTGCTGTCACTTTAAAGGCTAGAGCACGGATCCATTACGGTTTTCATTGTACTGTCTGTCACACTGTCACGCATTTTATGCTTATTTACAGTAAGACATAACCGACTGTGTTTACGAGCATACTAGCAGCCAAGACCAAAATTGACACAATTTTATGCATTTTTTCCCGTTAGAGCAATATAATCAGCGAAAAAGAACTTTTGCTACTAGCGAGTATGCACCCAGAGAAAACCATCTCTCAGTGAGCGCACGAGTACTGAATAGTTTAAAATCGCTTGAATGTTTAAACTGGTAAGACTTAAAAAGACGTAAAAAAGATCAACTTTAGTTACGATGCAATGCTGGCCCGATTGTGCAAGCGATAATTCCATCATGTCCCGACTCTTAAACGCGAGTGTAGTATCGCTTGACGCTTGCATTGTGCAACCTATTTTGAGAGACGGGAAAGAGAAGACGAAGCAGCACCGCTGAACACTCACGCTGTTTGTGAAATTGCATATCACAAAAAGTTGTAAAATTATTGATTTGATTTTATCATCTGTGTGGATTAACTTACTCATACAATCTGCATGCTGGAGTGAATCAATGTTCGCGGGAATTTCCCGCATTATGTGGGAGACTTAATTATTAAAATGATGCGCAATACCCGCTCTGAAATTTGAGCCCTGAAGCCCAAAGTATATTTCAGCCATCCGACCTCCGCGCACCGTCCGTGTGCAGCACAATTTTAGTGATGCTCATGCGTGTTGATGAGCGAGTGACTTAAGTGCTTTGAATACAAAATCCACTAGATAGTGCACACACGCCGAACGCGTCTTTCAATGCTCACAGCCAAAGTAGTATACTTTGAAAGGCTTGCCCACTCAACGTGGAAAATGAAGTATACCCAAGCCTTAAGAAAGTGGTGGGGTTTGATTGGATTAAATGATTAAAGAAGTCTGGCAAACATCACCAGAGGAAAGTCTGTCGTTTCACCAGATCAATAACATCCATTTAAAAAATAGGGTAAATTTTCATTTCATGTTGCCTTTAAGTGAAAAGTTAAAAACTATTGGTTTGAGAATGTTTATGGCAACCATATGCAGACTAAATAACTAATATGGCTTCTTCTTTGATAGGATTGCACAGGCATTCCCACTGGAGTAGCACTTCAGAGACCACGAATGTGACATTCTAGAGAGTCATTGCATAAGCATTACATAAGAGCAGTAGACTGCTTCAGTCACCTCCTTGAGCCAAGAATGCAGAGTAAAATTGACATGGGCAGTGATAAAACAGGACTTTATGTCCAGTACTACTAAATGCTTCCCTAAAGCAGCATCTTGAATGAAAGTAAAAGTCCCCTCTATGTTGGTCATTGTGGTCACACCCATAAATGGACAGGACTGAATAGACAAGATCTCAATGCGAAGCAACTGTGGCAGCCACAAAATGTTTGTTTGTGTGTACCTTTCACTGCCTGGCTGGAATTCAGACAGAAGGGATGGTCTACGGCGGTGAGGCTGGGAAAGGGATCCATGGGGCAGATGGGAGCCGTAGTCGCGAGCATGAGGGTGGTAGTCCACCAGTCCACCAACATCCTAAAATGAACAAAACATTTCACAAACTCAGAAAATAAAATTGCATGAAAAATGTGACTATATGATACTATTCTACATTAAATTAAATGTTTCCAGATTTAATAATGCTCCTTACAACATGAAATAAGGGAGAATTTACAGATATCATACAGCCCTTTAGTTACAGCTTAAAGTCTTACTTTTAGCAAGAAATTGCTCACGTCATATCAGACTCATGCACCAACTCCGGAAACTAATCCATCAATTACAATAAACTTTAATTAAGAGTCTAAAACTCTGAAGTGTTACACAGTTACTAGTTATATTGCTAGTTTAGGCTAAATTTTATTTAGACTAATATTAAGAATGACCAATTTTTTGGAGTCAAATGGTATAGGAAAAGAACATCTCTTTTGTGTCAGAGAAAGGACATATTCCTTAGGTTTGGTTGAGGAAGTGTTCCACTTGGCTGGCTAGGGTTGAGTCCCACTGATCTAGATGTCAGTGGGGTTAATAAGAGCAAACGGTAATCTGCAGGATGAAGATGTTGGCTGAGGGTCAAATCTCACATGATTAACAGGTCATATCCTAAGCAAGATAATCCTCTGTTAGCAACTTTGAGCCAAACACCAGAGTCAGTGTTCAGATCTATATGTACATTGCAAAAGTGTGTGCATGCTTAGTAGGGTGTATAATAGCCACAGACACAGATTACTATAACATACTATATAACAGTTAGTGTAACACTTTTTAGCTCAATGGTCAAAAGTGACAGAGGTAACTTGTTGGTGATAAATAATGCTTTTGTATAAGAAAAAAAAAAAAATAAGAAAAGAAAGGATTTTCAAGTTTTTGTTTTGTAGCCAGTAAGTGCAGTACCGTATGGGCTCTCAGCTGCAGAGGTACAGAACTAGCAAGGTGACGAGCGTCCACAGGCCTCCGCCCCTGAGGCACTGGCTGAGGGTGCGAGGACATGCTGACGATGCAACTTCCTCTACACTTTAAAAGTGAGTGTGGTCTTGTCACAAACGCTGTGCATCATGGGGTGTTGACTCCTGGCAGTCACAGACCTGGAAGGAAAAAGAGAGAAAGCATGGTAGATTAATTGTTAATGACAATAATAATAACAACATTTATTGACACAAAAACAATCTCCTGTTTATTGACACAAAAACAATCTCCTGGGGATTAAGTGCGCACCGAATTTAAGAAAACAATAAGGAAGGGCAACTGAGAGTTTGATCACAAGTGAGCGAGAGCGAGAGCGTGCGAGAGAGAGAGAGAGAGAGAGAGAGAGAGAGAGAGAGAACACCTGCTGCTGGCCAGATACATGTCGGCAAACTGTGTGAATGAATGGATCACTCTGTATCCCCCTCTCATCTCTTTCTAGCCTCATTAGGGCAGATGGTGAGCCGTCCTCCATGCTAAAACTCCCCTTTTCACAGGTACAACAAAAATACACAGTATGGCTAAACAAAGTTAATGTTCAAAGTCCCTTTAAACCAAGTCAGTTTAATCAGCAACTATCTTAGTAACATCCCTGGCTAATATTTTCTATACAACTCTAACCTACTTGAATGAGGACAGACAAATCAAATTAAACAATGCCTGGATCATATAATATTGATGTACTTTGTGAAAACAGGCAAAAGATCTTACTGTAATACATATGCTTAACTCAAAAGACCATGCAGTTATACAACGTTCTATTGAGATGGATAAGAAAATATTAACTGAACTAGAATAAAACTGCAGCAAAGAAGTACTTTACATTTATCTCTATATTTCCATAAAATGCATTTAATCCATGTTTTAATCTAATATATGTTAAGCATCACTGAACAGTCAGGCAGGAGAGACTGGAGGGCCAAGAACGCACCGCAGTCTTAAAACTTAAATAGTGTCAATCAGAGGTGGTGTTTCCACAAGGAGCTCATCAACACGGTTTTCACCACAGTGTGAACTGGAGACAAGAAAAGCAAAGCACCAGGTGAGAGTGCCAACCCAGCACGGATGGATCCCAAACACACCAGGCAATGCTCATGAATTCAATGGAAATGAATACAATGCTCATGCAAAAAAGTCACAAGCAAGTGTGACTACAGGATGGGTTCACATAATGTTAAAGCAGTGACCTTACAAGAACTACCGTAAACAGATGTTACCCGCAGGGTTGCTTTGTAACATGACGCCAAGTAGTGTGACTTGCTTAATTAAAATACAGGCCTACTTGTGTGGTATGATGGATGTTCCTACAGCTCAGAAAGCTGAAGTAAGCTACAGGTGAAATAGCAGCAGACCATTTGCCCTTTCACTTGGGTTTCACTAAAGATGTTTTCAACAGGTGACACAAGAAAAAGGCCCCATTTACACTGCATGGTACAAGTGGCCCAAATCTGATTTTTTCCTCTCATGTGGCACAGATCGGATATGACCCATGAACGTGTAAGCAGGAAAAAAACACATGGATTCCGATTTTCTCAGATCGGATTCAGGCCTCACTCATATGTGGTAATAAATCGGATATGAATCGGATACGTGCATTTGCGTGTGCCATGTAAGCAGACAAATCGGATATTCCCCAGTAAATGCGAGTCGTACGTCATTAAAAAAGTGACGTCAACTTACTCAGGTGGACACCACCAACTGCGCGATCACATTCTTATTATAGGCGCGATGGAGGACGAAGGATACACACAGTGGAGCAATGTGGAGGTTTCTTGTCTTTTGAGTGTTTGGGGCGAAGAGACAGTGTAGGCAAAAATGCAGGGTTGTTACAGAAATAAATCCGTGTTTGAAGACATTTCACGAGATATGGGGAGGCACGGTTTTAAGCGCTCGTGGCTACAGAGCCAACGTAAGATAAAAATCTTAAAAAACAAATACAAAGCGAAAGCAAAACACTGGATAATTTTATTCGAATCTGCATCCATTGCATTTCATGCTGTTTTACTTCCTTTTCCGGGTCAGAACGTCTACATTTGGTAGTTTCAGCAGTGTATAGTGTAAATGCAAAAATCGGATACCGGTCACTTTTAAAAGATGATGTAAGCGGGTCGTCAAAAAAATCGGATATAGTCAGAAAATCGGATTTGGGCATCAAGACCTGCAGTGTAAATGCAGCCTAAAGATAGTATTATAACCAAACAACATTAATATAATTAATAAAAATACTATTTTTTAAAAATGTATTAGAAAATAATTAAGTGCATACATTTCTGTCATGCACTTGGCAAACAGGTTTTGTTGACTATGCATTCTACCACTGAAATCTAAGATGAGTGTGACTGGCGTCACAGGTGTATCTTTCTTACTTCTCGTTAGCCGCTTTTCCACCGTCTGGCCAAACCGTTCTATTCCGTTCCAATCTGAGCTGGCCGGTACGGATATGGTTTCGTTTTCCACTGAGGGTCTGATAACGAAGCTCTTTGGAATGTAATACAAATAAGTCAGTCGTGCCATATAAATAGTGACTGCATTATGGAGGATGATCAGAATTGTATTATTAATTTGTGTTCATGTTGCTCAAATAGCACGTTTAGCAAACTACGGAGAAACTGGCAGCCAGGCGACAGACAAGTGACCGATCGTGAGTGGAGACAGACGTCACTACACGCATTCTAGTAGCACAGTTCACAAGGTTGGCTAATTCCGGCCTGAAAACGGTTTGTAATCGTGCCGTGACATACCAGGGTCAAGTGGAAATAAAACTGGAACCGTTCCTTACCATTCGTAGAACCGTTTGGCCCGACAGTGGAAAAGCGGCTTTTGTGAGCAGGGCAGTGGTGTAATGGCAATTTACATGAAAATCTTTCATTACAGATTTCGTTTCCCAAAAAAAACATATGGGTGACCCCTTGAACTTGGTTAAAAAAAAAAAGAAGATGATAATCCATTTACCATCTTGACTGGAAACCATGATTTTCATTGTCAATTTTTCATTTATTTTTGCTAATTTTAGTAAACTGTCTTTAACATTAGCGTGCACATCCTTCGCTGTAATTAATACGGGATCGGCTGGAAATAGCGACCTATCTTGGTTTGATTTAGTGTTAACATCATAATCTGAAAGCAATCTTTTCATTACTTACTTTTCAAATGTTTTAAAATTGATCATCCAAGTGGTCCAGCGGGCCGTAGTTAAAGACATTGCGGGCCACCAGTTGCCAGTTACATAATAAATGTAATACATTACTCTTTTGAAATGTTGACGTTTCCCAACTGCAAATTAATTAATATAATTTTACAGCAAAATGAGGATTGATGAATTTTCTACAATATGTTCAGCCTATTTTTGCAGTCAGGGCCATTGTAGAGCTAAACACAGACTGTAACCCTTAAATTAACTGTTTAATGACCAAAACCATTGATCGAACCATTGACGTTTAATAAGTGCTTCTCTGATGACAAGTGAATGTCAAGAGGTGGCTTCTTGTCAAAGGACTTTAATATGACTAGTTTATCACTTGAGAACAGCATGGAGAGATCAACTACCTAAACTTTAATTTTCGTTTTGGTGTTTTTGTAAAAAATAAAATAATAATTGTCCTCATAAGTGGGGATGTTCTAGTCCCCACTCCCCCAGTATAAACTTTTAACTGGAACGGCCCCCTGAAGTCAAGAGTTGCGACTGGGAAACTAGAGGGAAGCGCAAAAACCCTGACTTCAGAATCAAATATGGCCGCTCTCAGTGCATCAACCATATTCAAACAGCAGTATATTGTTTATTAGCACTTCTGTTTGTCTGGGTCTCAAACTCAGTGGTGCCCACACTACTATCCAACCTCTATTTGTTGACATGATACTTAAGCATTATCTGTATTCTGCATCTGTATTCTGAAAGAGCAAGCACAATAAAGGTTTGCCTGGACGTGTCTATCTTTTGTTTTCTGACCTGTGCACTGGAACGTGGTCAACTTAAGTCAGAGTGTGATGTCATTACAGCTACAACATGCCTCCTCCGAGTTAGCAGCAAAAGACAGCCCATGTGAAGCAAAGTATCTTGGGAACAGTGACGACATACAGATCTGTGGTGTTCAGTGGTAGGTAGAAAATTGGTAGATCAACCATACAGTTACCTCTTTACCACTGGACGTCCAATGGAATGACATTTACAAACCCTTTAATTCTATAAGGCTGTTCTAGTTAAAAGTTAAAGAATAGCCCTTTACAGTCTATGGCTTCAGATAAACTGGAGGTGGTGATATAATCACACTAATAAACAAATGCAAACAGACACACTTCTCTGAATGGGCTTTTCCCCATGTGGTTGCTGCGTGTCATTAGCCCTACTGCTCAATAAACACACAAACCCACTGCCATCTCAAGGGGCCCCACGACCTCTCTCTCATTGACACACAAATTACCATGTGAGAGAAGTCTGTCTATATAGACATAGAACAGTTGTGTGTCTATTTGTACATTACAACCTAAAACAAGGTCCTTGAGTGTTATCAAATACGTTGACATTAAAACGAAATCAGATCCTCTGCTCTAAACCCCTGTGGCTCTTTTACTACACAAAGAGAAGCACACTACCGTCCTTCTTCCTTCCTGTCTGTCACTGAATGATTTACACGGAAAGAGCAGAACGCTTGGCTGTGCTTTACTGTGCTGGGTGTATGTGTGCTGGGGGAGGAGATTCAATAGTCCAGGAATGTTTGGAGCTCTGAGAAGACACAAAAAGTCTTTGTCATCCTGAAGGCACATTGTAGACTCTAACACATGAACCCACATGCAGTGTCAAATCAATCACATAACTCACAGACAACACAAGTCTGATAAGTGTTTCTTGTTTTTCCTCTTCAGGAAAACTCTGGGTTATATCTATGATTTGCATGAGTTGTGATGATGAAGATAATCACATCTAACAGATACACTACTGTTCAAATTTTGGGGATCAGAAATATTTTTGATATTTTGAAAGAAGGCTCTTATGTTCACCAAGGCTCCATTTATTTTTTTATCAAAAATACAGTAAAAACAATGCTTTTGTGAAATATTACAAAATAAATCACTTTTATATGTATGTATATATATATTTTTTTAAATGTAATTTAATCATGTGATG